GAAGAACTATTAGAAATAGGTATTCGTGGAAAGTTTTGAAGCTATGGACTAAATACTTACAAAGTTATGGAGGAACAAAAATAAAAGGATTTGTGTGGAATTCTTTGTTGAGGTCTTGGTACCCTCGTTTTGATGTTTTTATGCCCCTTATAACTACAAGAGGATTTAATCTTTTTCTGTGAAACTTTCAGAGTTTATCAGAAGCTTTGATATCTATTAACTCAGCGTTTTCTTTTGTCAGCATTATAAATTAAGCAATAATATGCTAATTAGAATTGGCCATTATGAAAGTCGTCCATTGTCTGATATTATCTATTGTCAATCAAACTGTCAAATAAGCAACAATAAGAACTGAATCAAGAAAACAACCATTATAAGACAGTATATTAAGAGACCAATTTAAAAAAAACTTCCCAGTGTCACTAATGAGGCATTTGTTGCAGATAAAAGATCAGCTAAACCATCCTACCATTAAAGGACTAAAAAAGCTTAAAAACAGCAAAGCAAGCTGGGAGTGCATAACATCTGATGTTGCCGGCCCAATGTTCAGGGTGAGATTTTGGCTGTGGATCAGTCTCCACATTGATTTCATGACTTGCATTTAATATTTGGTGGCCCATTTTCAATACTCCAGTTTCGAATTCATAGCGCAAAACCGCTGCTTTATTTGACAACAGATTCTCTTGCGCAAAGACCTCACAAACACAATAGAGAGCACGAGAAAATGTCGTTATTAAAATAGACTTGAAAATTTGCATTTTCCCCGAKTTGAGACTAACCCTGTATTCCCATGAGACCTAAGGTATGAGCCTTCTGGGAATACAGGGTTAGCCTCGACTTGTGGGGAAAATGTAAATTGTTACCGCTATTGTACAAGCAACATTTTCTCATGCTTTCTTTTGTGTTTGGTAAGTTCTTTGCATAAGAGAATCTGCTGTCAAATAAAACAGCAGTTATTCGCTTTGAATTCGAAACTGGAGTATTTAAATCTATTCAGGATGTCAATTTCTTTGCATAGTAAGAAAACCAGAATAAATACACTTTCCTAGGCACATTACCAAGCTAAAAAGATGCTTTTGCTCCTTAAAACATTTTGAATTAAAAAAAAATTATCCTTTCTTCTAGTCCAAGGAATACAATGGATTTCTTTTTGACACCAGTCGTGCAATTGAAGTAACAAGTCACGATTTGATAGAGAAGCCGACRAAAGGGAAAAAGCAGTTTAGTAGAAGGCCATTCCTTGGTTACTTCAAGGTTTGTTGTTTGTCGTTATTTACCTCTTCTTACAGATAAAGGGTTATCAAGAATTAAATTGAAAATATAATTAAAGTTAAATCTATTCTGATCATTTTATTAAGTGAACCTTGCGTTGTTTCAAAAAAAAAATCAGTACTTCTTGAATTTTAAACCTGTTTCCACTTGTTCTGTAAACTTAGAATTTGCTTATTTACTGTTAGTTTATATTTTTATCAAAATTAGTGACTTCCTTAAAGCCATCACATTGAAAGGATATTGAGAAGGTCTTGACCTTGAATTACATGTAATTTAAAATGTGTGTAATCAAGTGTTGTGAAAGGTCTTCCCCTTACCATTAAATTTTATAATACCTTAGTTGTTCTGCAACAATTTCATAATTATTCAAGATCATTGTTCATCTTTTCACTGTATGTAGGCATCTGGCTTTGATTTTGTTGTGGTCAGTGTTCACCTGAAGGCTACTGGTCTTGGAAATGAAGATATTGGCAAACTGCAGGTACTTCAGGAATATTMAGGACTTCCTCTATACACATCAGTAAATTGTACAGTACATCTAAGATAAATGACACCTGTTTGTCATGTGACTTGTAGTCCATCATGTCAAAATGTCCAAGTGCAGTCATGATGTGTGACATATATCTTGTTGTGGGAGTTGTAGTGTCATAGATTGTAGTCTGTTATTATGTGACTTGTCTTTTAATCTTCTTGTGGGCAGGTCATATGTTCGTTCTTCAATGGATGTCTGATATGTAAACTGCTATTTGATTTTTCATGTGATTTTTCATGTGATTTGTCATTGTTGTCGCTGTCTTATCATGTAACCTGGATTCTCATGTGTCATTGATGAATTATTAGTAGTAGTTTAAATGGCTCTAAATGATATTTCAATGTATTCAATAGAAAGAGCTGGCTAATATCCCTGAAGTCATTGCTGCAATAAAGGAGAAAATYCCAGGTTAGAATTACTGTGAACCAAWGGGTTCCTAACAAAAAGTACTTAAAGTTTTGAATGAAAARGAATAAGGGAGTTTTAGATGAAATTTAGATATTCTCTCAAATAATGTTTTCCTTTTTTGTAGGGGAAAAAGACATGGTGATTGTTGGAGACTTTAACTTGGAACCTGATGGAAAAGGTGAGGAAAAAAAGACTTCAATAGGATATTCTTAAAATTTAGAAACAACAACATTAAAAATACTTTCCCCTTAATAGAGCGGATTTCGTATGAGTGGGAAACGGACGGTACTGTACGGTGACCGTAATCGTACTGTAACCAAATGCTAGTGTCCCATTGGTTCACAAAAATTGTGCAGGCCAGGTCCGGTAACTGTGCGGTAACGGTGTCCCACTCATACGAAATCCACTCTATTGCTCAGTCAACTACTTCGACATGTAGCTTTATGCCAATGTCCTCACACCAAAACAAGGAAGCTTATTATGAACACATTTTGAGGCTGATGTACATGATGCAACTTGTTGTACATGTATGACTTGAAGTGTATTCCTCGTCCTTATGACTTTTTGTAGGATTTTGAGCCTACATTCAAAAGCTTGAGACAAGTCATGAGTCCATATGTATCTTGCCGTGGAGCCATTTAAAATGTCGTCTTAGTCAGTCACTGTTAGCCAGACACTTTGCCGTCTTAATCAAACAATAAACCAGACAGTTTGTCTGTCTATGTCAATCAGCTGGCCACACAATTGTACATGAGTGATTCTTATTGTTTTGGTTACTTAGCTCACATAGTGCAATGTTTTTCCGACTACGTTTTGTCTGGTAAATGACACAATACAGCACACAGAAAAAAGTTACCAATCTTTAATGAATGATTCTGCCATCACATAGTGTGTGACCTGTTGAATTGTGTAAATCAGCGTTAAAAACATTTTTGTTGGTAAATAAATTACTCAAGTGTTTATGTAGCCTGAGTTTATCCAGCGTTTACTTATAAACGCGGTCTGACAGTTAATTTTGAAAATAAACCGGATGTACACAGGCTAGTCTTTATGATAATGTATTTATTATGAACTAAAAAACTTTTGTGACTGTCGTTTTGTTTGGTTTCAGAGTTTGATTCTTTCCGTACATCGGGATTGAGTCACCTTATTCCTGAGACTATGTACACCAACATTAGCACCTCCAACTTAGATGGATCCAAGTGTTATGACAACATATGGATAGGTAACCATACCAAGGACCATTACTCAACTGGACGAGCAGGTATGTGACTCAGTGACATCCAGTGCCCGGGGGGGAATCCCTAATATCAAAGGGCGGGGGTCCTCGGCAGAAATTATGAAAATGACCSCTAAGAGGGACCTGTATTTGGAGATGATGGGCGTGGCAGTGCTGAAATTTCATCCCTAAAAGGGACCAATGATCTCGTCTATTAAGGAGTGTTAAGTGACAAGACGTGAAATTGATTAAAATAAAATCAATCATCTAATAAATTAGCAGCTGTGGTTTTTGATCTCATAATGACGGCTTAGGGACGTCATACCCTAAATGGGACCACAAAACTCAGTTAGTGGGAATTCTCGTCATTTTCACCCTAAGCGGGACCAAAATACCGATTTCAAACCCTAAAAGGGACGCCGAGGACCCCCGCCCTTTGATATTAGGGAGTCCCCCCCAGGATCCAATGTTATCTCCTGTCAGCAAATGTAATTTCAGTGTCCTTTTTTTCATGATTTTGCATATGAAATTATTCCTTAGTAGACGTCACTTAATTTGCATTTTTGATTTTTCAAATGATTTTAAATCAGAAGATATATATACTGTAACTTTGAATATTTTTTTTTTCCTTTGTAAAAGTTCTTAGCAGCATGTTCTCTATCAAATAAAATTTTTCCTAAAAGAATTCATGTGCACTTTAAGCTTGTGAATGAAAAAGAATCGTGTGTGATATTTATATGAGACCAACAGTTAAGAACTCATTTGAAATCATTTGAGATGCACTTATTGATCGTGTAGTTTATGATATTATTACATGCTATAATAGAGTGCTCGCACTTAAAGCGTGAAACAAATAGTACTAATTACTACTAAATAGTGTTGATTATACAATAGAAAACAAAGGAATTTGTATAATTTATCACCTATTTTGTAGTAATTATATCTCACACATTTAGTGCGAGCACTCTATCAATGATCTTTTTTTGTACTTTAGGTGTAATCCGTCAAGGTATGAGACACAAATTGATTCCCGATGGCTGGGGTCAAAATGGCGTCGTTTCAGATCATTGCCCTGTGTGGGGTGAATTCTACTGCGATCGTGACATGGACAAAACAACGGGAAATGAAGATGTTGAAGACATTGTCATTCAAACCAAAACTTGAGCGATGTGYACCTGTGCATTGTGGGGAAGATAAAGATTGTACCTTGGATTTAAAAGCTAGAAAATGCGATAGGTTAGTGTGAATTTATTGTAGTATAAATTAATTGTATTTTTAAGTAGTATTTATAGTTAAATAGTTTTGTAGGAAAACTTAAGATAAACTAAATTGTAAATAGTAATTTTACCAAGCCTTCTAGAATTATCTAGTTAGATAGGAATTTTAAATAGATCCATACACAGTCTCATGTACTTATAGCAGTTAGGAAATAAGGTGTTTTACACCACAGGAATCCCATGTCATGACACAGGAATCCCATGAGGATAACCAAGTACATAATGTTTTCTCTTTTTTTTTACTTTTGAAATTTAAATAGCATCATTAAKGAAAGTGAGAGAACTTTCTAATCAAATTAGACAGCTCACAGTGTAATATGTACTAATAAGTTTTTTTTTAACCAAAATTTTTAATAGAATTCAACACAAAACTTCCAAACATTAGAATTATATTTAAATAATTAAATCAAATCTATTTAATGTAGGATGTATAAGTAAAGTCATATTTTTAGATGAACTCAATGTGTTCCTGTTGTTTTTATTGCTAGTAGTATTGGTTGAGAGAGGTCGGTTTGTTGCTTGTTTCGTTGTTGTTGTTGTTGCTGTTGTGGTGGTGGTGGTAGTGGTTGTGGTTGTTGTTTTTGGCAGAGGGGAGGGGGTAAGCCCATTTTCAATATATTTGTTTAACAAACCATGCATAAAAGAATTTAAAACGAGGCTCAGGGGAAATAATACTTTCAGTCTCCGGAGCCCCGTCTGTAGTTCTTTTGTACGCGGTCACTCAACCAGAATATTCTGTGTTTCATTTGGGCTTGCTGTGACACAGGAAGCCCAAAAGCAAAAACGTAGCAGCAAAAACGCGAAATAACAAAGTGGACCATAAATCAATAGGGAAAAAGAAACGTACGGTGAGACGCTCTAAAATGACGGTTATTTTCCTATTGTCAAGAACTTCAGTGCATATTATCAACGAGAAAACAGCTTTTTTTTCGCCGTTTTGAACATGAGAGAGCGTATTTTAGAATGTAGAGCTCTCGAATTCGAGTTTTCTTCGTTATAAAATTATTTCAAATATTTTTTTTATTATTATTATTTTAAACAGACACGACAACAGACACTTGTTCGCTCAAAGTCGTAGTATTTTTGGTAGTCAAGCCCTTTCGAGTTAAACTCGTTTTCAGGCCTTTTCCTTAGTTATAGGATGTTAGCCTGTGACGGGTTTCCTGTGTTGTTAATTTATGCTGTCTGATCATTTATTCAAAGACTTCTGCCAAATGCTATATATAGCACAAGCCGATGTCACAGCCACAGTTGCCCTAGAAACGGMTATTCAACTTTACACATTAAAGAATTGTATTACTGAAAAAATCTTAAATCGCAAACATAAGTGTTGCTTTGGTTTTCTTTTTTTTTTCAGTTTGTTTTATTATTACCAATGGTTCGTTTTCTTGTTATTTCAGTTTTGAGAAGTAAATATTAGCGTTTGTATTTGCTTCTTTTCTACTTTGCGTTAGAAAGCAGTACCTTTCTTTTACGTCGGCCTGAACAACTTAGGTATTTTAGGCCAGGTATTTCCAGTTCTTGCGTTAACAATTCGAGTATTTTTCTCATTTTCTCATTCGTGAAACACCTGTGAAACGAACGACTGTGGAGTTTTTTAGTATATTTCCTGCATCCATTTTTCTATATATATCAGGCATTTTTACGTTCTTTTTTYAAGGATTCAGTTTGAACTGTTTGACAAGCAAATAGGGAAATCCATTCACAAAAGAATTTCAATTCTAACCTTACTTTGCATTTCGTGTCGTTGTGTACATACAACTTATTTAGCAATTTAAATAAGGGAATAGTGTGTCTTTCGTTGTGACTTGTGGTCTAATTTTAGTCAGCTTTGTTTACTGAACTGGTCGATTARAGCATTATTTCTCTCGGACCAACAGTTGAGTAGAACAGAGGTGTTCGCCCACGCATTCAATGACACCACCCCTCCCCCGTAAGTTTTATGTGGAACCATCCCCTCCCTCCTCATCAAAAATTTGCAAGCTCTTTGAATCAAATATTGCAAGCTCTTTGATTCAAATACTCGGGCAAAAAAATGTAGATTGAGCAAACTTTGAATTATAATAAGAATTCATTTGAGTTATTCTATTCTATGTGGTGATAGTTATAATTAAGATATCAATTATCAATGATACAATTAATAATCATTGATGTTTGTGGAATAATGACATCATAATCCTTGCTCACGACGCAAAACAGAAAACGTTGAGAATTGTGAAAAGCTGCCGATATCCTGCGTTGTAAAAAAAGAACTAAAGTATAATCAAAAATGATTTTTTTTTGATTTGTTGATGGTGATGTTGCGAAAATTAGTGTAGAATATGAATTATCAAGGCAGATGTGCTGACACGGTACGATTGTCGCGTGCGACTTAATTGTCGTATACGATTTACATACGACAAGTCGTTGGATTTTAAGCCGTGGTTCAAAATCGTACTACAAGTCGTAGATTGCGTACGTACGATTGTCGTAGACAAGTCGTAGGAGCATTCATACGTCGCGATTTGGGTCGCGCATGACAATCCTAACTTAAAAAGAATTTTGCATAGCGTGGCGGCTATAAATCCCCGTGACAGCCTTGATAATGAGCAATCTCCTCAGATGATTCACGTCATACAAATCCTCGAGCAACAATTCTCTATTGAGTGATCCATTCTGATTCCTTCAATTCAAGACGCGAATAATTCAAGAGTGAATATTTCGTTCATTTCCAACTATTCCTTTGATTGTTGTTGTTGTTGTTGTTGTTGCATGTATTGTCACACGAAACTGAGGTCTTGCTAGAGCGCAAACACTAAAACCATGAAAACTTTAGTAATTAAATATTACTGAGCTTTACACAACGCAGTTTGTGTTGTGTCTACTGCTTGCTGATTAAAGCTTGAGGGTTATTACTACGCAAGCGCAAGCGTAAGAGGCCTTTCGTGGTGAAAATCTCCCAACGCAGTGACAAGACAAGCGCAAGATATTCTTGGAATTGCAAGATATTCTTGGAATTGTATTTCCAATTGGTTTTGCTGGTAAAAACGAAACGGAACTCAAGTCCAGCATTGGTAGATTGATTGCGCATGTCAGGTGACCACGTGATTGCGCGACATCAAAAATTGTGATTCCAGCTTTTAAATTATGGGATTGATTTACAGAACTCAAAAAGTTCCAGACTTGTAAGACAGATGAAATTTCTACTGTTTAAGTGACGCTCGCTGTTTGTATACATGAATCAGGGTCGGCTTGTTCAAAGCCCAATTAGCGCTAACTCTTAGAAAACCTATGGAGTTAACCCTTAATACAAATCGTGCTTTGAATAACTCCCATTAGTTTTGGAGAACAATGCGTCCGCCATCGTGAAAACTTGGACTCGAATCACTAAATTATAACACCTAAAAATATTAAAAGGTTCTCAGCTAATGTCAAGTTAATATAATACGATATAATGATAGATTAGTAACGTAGCAACTACGAAATGTATTCAAAGGCACAACATGGTGATTCGTGTCTCACTTTTCAAGATGGCGGACRCATTGTTCTCAGAAACCAACCCCTCATACATGTATGAAATAGCTGTCAAATTCCKAARGCCTGKCTCATACGCCGCGCTATCGTCGCGTCTAAYCGAATAGTTTGAATATGGCACATGAACAGGGAGGTATGAATTAAGTTCGGCGCGCGACTATGGCACGGTAACTACGTTTGAATCACCGTCGAGCTCTTGCCATTCAGCACGACTGGCGTATCGCTGTGGAGAATTTAATGCACAAATAAATCTTGTTTTCTAGAAAAGTAGTGAATACTATTGCCCATTATCAKACMTTTTCTTATGCTTTCGACRCAATTTGGAACAACGCATGTATCAACGCACTKCTGATTGCATTTGAGTCGACTATTTGTGTCAACTAGCCCCACTGCTGACATCGGTTTTTCTCCGTTACATAATTTTTATTTACAATAATTGGATATCCGTATACACTTTAGAATAAAGCGAACCGGCAAAACTTACCTAAGAACGTGTGGATGCGACAGCAAGAGCGCAGGTGCGCCGTCCTGGACGTGATCAGACGAAATTTGCTCGAGACATTTGCGGTTGCATGCGAGTTTAGCGCAATTACCTTAATCTCTATTATAATTTCAGCGTAACACACTTTATTTTCAGTCAAAATATTAGCTCCCAAAAAAAAGCAAAAAACAATTCTATACGTRCTTTGATGATTTCAATGAACATACAAATCTTAATTTTCATACGCTGGCACATCAAGTTCTGGCCGTTTATACGAGCGTGCACAATATTTTCATTAWTYATCCGATTGGTTGYTACAATCTCCAAATTAAAAAGTTTAACTCAGAAATATCAAAATTGCACGCAATTYGTATAATTTAGGAATTTAGGGGATGATYAGATACGAAGGAATCATACAGAAGAAAGTTAGTGTTTTCTTTCAAACGTTTGGTAATTTTGCGCGGGAAAAATTGACGCGAGCGCGCACTCAAATCTCTTGACACTACAACTTTTGATACAACAGTATATTTTCATCAATTGAAATAATCTCTCTTAATTGTCTAAACTAAAAAATTCTATAAATATGGTTGATATTTTTAAGCTATCAATGAGTGAAAATGGTAGATTTTCCGCTGGACGTGACCGAGAGGTGTTCTACAAGAACAACGTCGACTAATTTATTAATTATAAGCAATAATAAGCATTTTAAGCCTGATTGTCTGGTAAAGCTTTCTTCTTTGTGGACCATGGGCTTCAATTTTTGTTTATTCTTTAATTAGTTTTACCGTCAGACGCGTTATTAAACTTTCTTTCTGATGAGTACGTGAGCTTCTTAATATTTCAGTTGTTATAATGATTGAAAAAGGACCGAAAAGGGAATATTTAGAGCTATATTCTAAAAGTAGTTTTTGAAAAGGCTTTCGGAATTCCTCGAACTCTAAAAACCTTGACACACTGTTGTTGGTTTATTGATTTTTGTGTGTCTGCGTGTRGGTAAAACTAAGCAATTGCCGTTGTCTTGAAAGCCTGCGACGCAAGGAGAAACGCGAAGAAGCAAGCGCAAACGCAAGTGTTTATTTCATAGAGAAAGCAAGACATGGATTGTCGCAAGCATTACTTTAAATTCATCGATTGAATCAGTTTCAGCACGATGAAGACTGGTCGAATAAGGTTTGTGATTATTCCCATTGATTACCATATCTGCATAGTTAGTCTCCTCTCGCTGCCGTTAGGACGTTCGTTCCCAGGTCAAGGGGGRAGTGAACTGGGAAAGAAMGTCCTAACTAGTGCGTAGTTGATCTCTATTATGTTTTTAATTTAAGGAATAAAAGACGAAATTCCGTGTTTGATACTCTGATCAAAACACGCGGGATGTAGGGAGAGCACGAGAGAAGCGTAGGAAACCACGACGCGTAGCGGAGTGGTTTCCAGCTTTTCGAGTGCTCTCCCTACATCCCAAGTGTTTTGATCAGAGAATCAAACACGGAATTCCGTCTTTTATTTCTTTTCTAAAATTAAAAGAATAAAAGAAATTTTTGACGCGCGCGAGCGTGTTTTGATACTGTAATCAAACATGGTTTTCGACCAATCACAGCGCGCGTAGTATCCTAAATATTTTAGAAAGTGAGATCAAAGCGCAATAAAAAAGGAAAATTTTTGATTCAACTGCACTTGATTGGCGTCACTATAAAATATGACCTCGCCTCTTGCGTTTACGCTTACTCTTGCGACTCAAGTGAAAAAAAGGGACCAACACCAATGAAGTTCGTATGCGATTGAATAAATGATTGATCTCGTTTTATGTCGATGGAAATTTTAGGATCCTTTAAAACAAAAACAAATAATTAAATAAACAAACAAAAACGTTTCGTCAAGATCAAGAATAGTGAAACGAGCAGCCAGCCAGCATTGATGATATAAAATATGTCCTTCAAGCACGTACGATGATCATAATCCTCCACAACAACAACAACAACAACGACAACAACAACGACAACAACAACAGCAACAATATCAACAACAGCAACAACAACAACGACAACAACAACAACAACGACAACAACAGCAACAACAACAATAAAACAGTGAAAAAGTTAAAAATGCACAAGATGGAAACCGATTGTCTACAAATTCTATATACAATGCATGGTTGGTAACGCATCTAAAAATCGTGCATGGCCACCAACTATCTAATCTACTAAGTAACCTTTCTACAAAACAGCTAACTGGTTGAATAACCTTTAATCGAGCAAGTAATCAATCGACCAATCAGCCAACCAACAAACCTTCAAAACAGCTACCCTGTAAGCTAACCTACAAGACAGCAACTTGACCGAACAACTAACAAACCAGGTAATTAACTTAATAGCAACTAAATTACTCAAAACGTCAACCTCACCGACCGCCAACCAACCAACTAACCAACCAATCGACCAACAAGCCAACAACCAACCAACCATCCAAAACCAACCAACCAACCACACAACCAACCTACAAAACAACCAAACAACCTACAAAACAACCAACAAATCGACCAATTAATCAACCAACCAATCAGCCAACCAATCGACCAACGAACCAACCAGCCTACGGATCCAGATTATTATTTGAAAAGAAAGCAAATTACTAGAAACGAAAGCATCGAATTTTTTTGCGCGTTTCAAAGTTGCTCTTAAGTGAAAAAAAAAAACAAACAATGAATGTTTTTCGTCTGATAATTAATTAATTCATCAAATGAGCAAAGTTGCAACTTGCAAGTTTACATTGCATTGTGGTCTAAATTCGGTACAAACATCTTTTGTTAGTGCTGTCAAATATGGTGTTGTTTGTACTAAAGCTAGACTACAATGCATCAGGGTTTTTTATGGTTTTTCAGGTCCACTTTTAGTACAAATTAGTAATACTTAGGTTTTGTACAGTTGCACGCTTTAAGTGCGATCACTCTAACAGAAGTGCATAGCTATAGTTATTTAACAAATAGATCTCATTTTTCCGTGCGTGTGTACTCTAATAGATACACAGATGACGTCAAAATGTAGTGAGAACAAAAAAGTACGCACGAGACGCAGTCGAGTGCGTGACTGTTGTTCTCACTACATTTTGGCGTCATCTGTGTATCTATTAGAGTACACACGCACGGAAAAATGAGATCTATCTATTTTATACAACAAACAATTAGTTTTGACGTAATCCGTGTATCTATACTTTGATAACACACGAAAGCCAACCAATCAAAACGTCTGATTTTACTGAAAAGTTGTATAAAGCTAGTTATGCACTCCTGGTGCTAAATAACGCTGTACTTTTGGTTTTACCACTGCATAACAACAGCTCAGTTCAGTTGCACTTCCATCAGTCACATATATAGTGCATCTTGCTAACACCATGACGTTATGAGGGAAAGGACGTTTAAAACCTAAAACCCAAACAATGGACGCTTTTAATTCCACCTTTTCGAAATCCACAGCTTTTCATCTGGATGACCTGATACTGTTAAGGTAGTGCGAATGAGTGTATCACAAAAGATGAACTTCAATTATACAACATACTGCCTGCATGATTATGAAGTACATTTTGTTATATGCRAGCGCATGCTCGTGCGACCTCAAGARAKGCCAAGTCAGGTATAATAAAAATTTCAATTGGGTGTTACGGTGCTGGTACGGTACGTCACTACGTTACGGTAGTGATACAGGGCGTCARKTTCCCACTGACCCAAGAACCGTTCTATTGGAGCATACGTAACTGATGCGGTTTKTCACTATGCTACGGTGCTGCACRGTACGTCAGTTTCCCACTAATACCAGAACCATTCTATTGGACGATACGTAAATGATACGGTATGTCACTACATTACGGTGCTGCAAGGTATGTCAGTTCCACACGGCACAAGAGAACCAACCGTAATGAAACCCTGTTACGGTACTGATGTGATGTGGTACAGTGGTTTTTCATTGATAGGAGAACCGCTCCATTGAACGTTACGTTACGCATGATACGTTGCGTCAGTTTTCCACTCAAATATGAGAAAGGACGAGAAAACTATGGCGGATCTCGGATTTTCAAAAACTGGGCCCAGATTTTCCACTTCTATGCTCAGTTAATATATGAGTGCTGTTCGTTTGAATGCAGATTATAAAACTTGTTTTATTTCTGGTGTAGCCTGAACCCATTTTCTATACATGTACCCATGGATACGCCACTACAGACATGAAAGACACAAAGCTTGGCGGAAATACCTTAGTTCATCTAAATGCTGATTATAACGTTATTAACGTCCCAATAGTGATCCTTTTAGGTGAACAGCGAGCGTCCCTTTGCACGATTTGCGTATAGTCTTCCCCGTAACCGTGTTTAGTCTTCGGAGGAGAAGAGAAATTACCCAGGAGATCCGGAGAAAAATCAGCCGGCGCAAAGGTGGAGAAGAAAACACTATCTTCTAATCTTCAATCTTGACATCGCATCATATTTAGTCAGAACGCAATAAAATCATCCAATCTTACAACGGGACAACACCATTTTTTTTTGCCTGGACATATTCACCTGTTCCGACTTGCATATCTTGAWAACCTTGTCACAGGGGCCGTGGAGACAAAGATGTTGTGGAGGTGATATCCCCGCAATTTTCCCTTCTCATTATTATTAGTATTATTTGTCYATGCATTAATTATTATGTTTCTCTTGAAGGAACCAAACCCAAAGCAGAATCTTYAAAGGCCAAGTCTATGACTCTTATGTTATATGAAGGGAAGCGCTTGATTTTGTAATGGTTTAGGGTGAAAATAGTACTACATCGCGACGCGAAGATTGTCCGGATTTGCTCACTGAACGTAAAATACGAACGATCAATTTATAAGAAAGGTTGATGTCTTCTAAATGCATAGTATTATATAGCGTCCGTCGATCTTTGGTAAGACACACTCTTGTGCCTCTTGTGCCTCTGAAAGCAAGTTGTTCCATGGCTAAATGGTACTTCTAGGAACTCGGCGGCCAGTCGCGCAATTAAGTTTTTACACGTTGAATTCTGATTTTTCATGTTTCATAACATAAATACTTATCAGAAATGTTGAAAATTAGGACTCATTTAAAATTGCGCTGATTTTGTCTCATTTTTCGGTTCTCATTTGGAAATGGGAAAAAAGAAAAGTAGAATAAAAGAGCCTGGTACTAGGCTTTGCAAGCAARTGGTACTCAGTCTCCTTTGATTCACTCGGTCATGTATCCCGTGATGCATTAGGTCTCCCGGGTGTGTCAAACAACCAGGATCTCTACTAAGACGGCTGGTTTTACTTCACAATCTTGCTGCCTCGAACTAGCAAAAAAGATCCTTTTTATTTCATAGGTTAACGGGGGTGTCTTCCCTCGTTCCTTAGTCACACTTGTGTGCGATGGGGTGTTTTAAAAATGGAATAACAGACGATGAAAAGAAACAGAAAACCACAAACAAAAAAATTGAGAAGCAACTTAAGGAAGACAAGGTAGCATACAGAGCCACTCATCGATTGCTGCTTCTCGGTAATGTTTCGTACATATGATGGCGTGTTTTTATGGGTTTTTGGCGGTGATTTTTTGCCCTGTTCGAAGGAGTAATACCTATAATTTATCTCATCGAAGGTGCTGGCGAGTCAGGGAAAAGTACGATCGTCAAACAGATGAGAATTCTACATGATGTACATGGCTTTACTGAACAGTGAGTAGCAAGTCAGACGACTACCGATCTATGACTATTGTTTCTTCGCTTCCCTAAAGCGGCGAAAGACCTTCTCGATCGAAGAAWTATCCCATAGCAAGACCACAGATAGTTAATGCTCGATTTTTCTTGCTTTCTCGTAGGGAAAAACGTCAAAAAACTGAAGATATTAAGAAAAATATAAGAGATGCTATATTGGTAAGCCGAAGCCTGTTTACAATGACTCCCACCCACATCGGGCCTTCAGTCTATAGTCCATATTTTCTAGCATTCGATGGATTTCGTTGCAAATCGTCTGACATGCTTTTCTTGACATTCTCAGACCATAACAGGCGCTATGAGCACTTTAACTCCACCAGTAAAACTTGCCAACCCCAATAACCAGTTTCGGTTCGACTACATCCACGAAGTCGCTACTGCACCCGATTTCGACTATCCCCAGGTAAGTGAGCTTGTTCTCTCGGTCGTTTGTATTATTGATCGTAGTGTTGATGTGAAAAGTTGTTCGATTTATGCTCAAGAGAGCCCATGCTAGCGAAATGACTTGAGACTGGCTATGTAGATTTGGTACTGTTTATATGAGAGCGAGCGAACACTGCAAGATCGAGACTACGACATTTTGAACAAACAAACTGTGTAGTCGTTCTCTCTTTGGCTTTCTGGAGCCCGGATTTTAGCTCACAACTCGTTGGGTTTTGTGTTGTAGGAATTCTATGACCATGCTAAAATATTGTGGCAAGACCAGGGAGTACAAGAGTGCTTCGAAAGATCCAACGAGTACCAACTTATCGACTGTGCCCAGTAGTAAGTACAGATTGTTACATATATTCAGCGCTTGCAAGGGCCCTAGTTCGGCCTTTTGCCTTGATTTCGCCCTGTGATCAATTCTTCTGACTTATAGCGGGCTTTCGAACGATCTACGATCGAGAACTCGCATGTTAGCAGGTTCGAGGTTACATGTTTTCTCCGACATGGTTACAACAGGAATATGTTTACAAATTGACTAAGCCTGCAAAAAGGCTAGGGAAAGAAGATTATTCATGGAAATACAGCACACATTCTTATGTTTTCGATACCATAGTTCAAGCGTTTTGTTATTTCTGTCTATTTGGTTTTCTAATATTTGAAAAAAATCCTTGCCGGCTTCCGAAAAGCCAGATCAGAGCGCCGAATAGCTGTCACGCTCAACCAGCAGTGCAGAAGCCATATTCCAAAATAGCTCGAGTTTTTTTTCTTGTTTTTGTCGATGTGATTTGGTGGAAAAGCTTTTTAGGATGTAGAATGTAAGTTATAAATGCCATAGGTGGTTTTTATTTGCGATTTAAATCGACAAATTTCATGTATATTTGAAATTAAACCATAGCACCTATACTAGGTCTTGACAAAATTGAAAACATATAGTCAACACACATCCAACCAAACGCAAACGATTTCGTTGTATTTTGGTTTTATTTTACTATAAACTTAACAATATTGTCAGACAAATCATTGCTGGGTCTTACTAGTTTTATTCCAATGAAATAATGTCGAATATTGCAATGTTTGAGCTGAGAGAAATTGTTAGTAAGAGCAGTTTTGATTTGTGTTGGGGTATCTGCTGTAAGTGAACGAGACTTCGTCTATCTCGGCGACTACTTCTCTACTCCAGTACCCACAGCCATAGAATGTAATTTTATAGAAATAATTCAAAGTATTCGTATAAAATTCTTTGTTATGCCRCAGAAATTACACAAAAATGWTTCTTGTAAGGTTTTGTATTGTGAGGGGAAAAAATGTTCACCGGCCTTTGGCCTAAATTGCTAGTGATCAGAGAAGAAGAAAATCTATTCCTAAGACTAAATGACTCCCCTAATTATTTGAAATCTTTCTTCGTTCCAGTCACTTTTAATGCCATTTTCTTAGAAATATAATTCCTGGTGTTAAAATGTAATTTTTACTTCATATGTGAGGGGRAAAAAATCACATAGGTTTGTCCCTCTGACCTGTAAATAATAACATTTTGCAATTTTTGTACTCTTCCATATATTTTCCATACATTTTTGTATTTTGGGTTGTATCGAAAAAAATAAAAGTAAAAGTATTCTTCACTTATAGACACTAAAGCAAGGAATTTCTCTTATTTTTTTTTTCTTTTTCTATGGATCATTGAAATCTGCTATTGTGTTTCTTCTCATCTCCATGGTATTTGCCAATACATAAATTCCCAAATAGTCAAATATTAAAACCATTTAATATCCTACCAGTTGATAAAACACAATGTTTTTGATATTTATTATTATTATTAATATATTCCAGTTAAAAATATTGCATTGTTTGTCTTGTCTATTTTAAGTTTTTTTTTTGTTGAAATATTACATTAAGGTGTCTCCTAGGAAAATATAAATAATAATACTGAAATCATTGTATACATCCAAAATAGTAACCATTATTTCGAATACAAAATGTATTTCTAAAGATAAGATTTTCTTTGCCCTGTTKCGTTATTATGTGTTGTGCGATTTCAAATGCGAAATATTTTGTTTATCRCACTAAAATACCTTGTTTTTTMWTGATATACAAAAGAGTTTATCATATTTTTGACCAAAAYACTTTAACTAAACAGTCYACAAGTTTTGCAAGTTTTTTCATGGTTCAAATCGAGCTGAAATAAGTTATGTTGCATTCTTGCATAMTATTATGCATATTATTCATGATGAATGACATTGCAAGAATGCAGCAAACAGGCAAATGAGCACYATAAACTTGTTGATAACGAGTGTTACCAATACCTTGAGATAAARCCAGTCTTATAAGTTCATAGCATTTAGAAACTCATCTAGTGCATCGTCTAACAAAATGTAYATGTAATGTCAAAATTACTAATGAATTTGAAAAAGATAAAGATTGCCTTTGTTTTTGATATTATACAAGGCTCCTTTATCTGTTAAAGTAGCAGTATATATCCATTGATCAAAGAAGTTCATTAATCAATTGTTTGCAATCATTTCCATTGGAGATTATTTGAGAAARATATATATTTTCTTTGCTCATTCCCAAGAAAAGGCCWGGGACTACTTGCAAACTAGGAATAGATGTATTCATATTMATTTAAAAATCCTTTTGTCATRAACCTCTATCCAAAGCGCAAAATGCAGTGCATTGCCATTATGTTGCCCTTTATGCTCTGCACTGATTATTTTTATGAAATCTGCTGTAGTTTATTTAACAAAGTTATGATAGTTTCTAATAGTAAGTCCTCTTATTTGACTGACTTGTGGATGTTGTTCATGCATGAGATGAAGTTCAGAAACTATCATAAATTTGTTTTTATTTTTTACCACAAGAAAACATTCTACAATTCAATWACAGTCCCAGACAAAACGAACAGTCTTGCAAACATGATGTGTATAGTTTTGTTTACCACGTCTCTCCCCCAATCAGAAATTGAGAAAGTTTACTATTAATTTGTGGTAAAATATGAACTGGAATATCTTGCATTGCATTACACTGACGTAGTAATATTTACAGTATTAATACTACATTATATCTAAATGATACAGCTTTTTACTGATTAAAATACATGCATACCTTAGTAATCAGGACTTTCATGTATAAATTGTACATGTACTGTTAACAATTTGCTTGGAAAAAAATGCTTTAAAAATAAGGTGTTATGTCTAAAATATTGTTTTTAAATAGTTRTTTTACAAATATTATAATTTTCCCTTGGGAATAGGCATTATATTTTCCTTTGAAATAGTTGTACATATTTACAAAATTATGAATCTTGTGATGGCTCTTCAGTGTAGAGAACAATGATAAACATTTTATAAAAATCTTGTTTATGCTTATAATCTATATTTAGCAATAAAATAATAATCTAATAATCATTAATACAGCATTTTGCAAAAATTATGAGAATTGTCGAAATATCATAATATCGAGTGCATAATGGGTAATCCCGCGCCATGCCCTTAGTCCCTTGTCTTTGTAGCTTAGTTTTTTTTTGGGTGACAAACTTATCCGTAGTTCTGAACATTTTCTGGATGTCAACAATGAATTATTCTAGCAAACCCGCGTGTTCCGGACAATATATGGATATGGATATTATGATATTTAGATATTTCGACAATTCTCATAATTTTTGCAAAAGGCTGTAACTCTCACTATATTGTTTTTGACTGTGTTTTTGTGTTTTTGTGTTTTTTAATTTTAATTTTAAGTTAAAACTTTTAAAACAGTCAGGAAGTTTTATCTCTATTTAGGGTGTTTAATATATAGTATCTCTTTCTTTTTTTTGCAATGCAAAACTGAGATTGAATGAGAATTTGAGTCATCTCATAATAGATAAAATTAATTTGAATGATATGAAATTAAAATTAATAATGTACATACATAAAATCAGAAGTTTATATTAATCAAGACGTATTGTTACTTATATACCAATTGTTCTTGCTGGACGATTGCCTTGTCCAGGAATTGTGATATGTGTGTTTGTTGGTATTGTGACATTGCTGTTTAGGCTGAACTTGAGTATGATACAAAGAATTATTGCTTGAGGCTGGGTTTGATATGAAGATATATTGATTGAGGGTGGGTATGATATGAAGAATTATTGCTTGAGCATGATATGGAGAATTATTGGTTGAGGCTGAATATGATATGAAAAAATATTGCTTGAGGATGGGCATGATATGAATAATTTGAGGCAGAGTATGATACAAAGAATTATTGCTTGAGGCTGCTTATGATATGAAAAATTACTGGTTGAGGGTGAGTGTGATATGAAGAATTATTGCTTGAGCATGATATGGAGAATTATTGGTGGAGGCTGAGTATGATATGAAAAAATATTGCTTGAGGATGGTCATGATATGAATAATTTGGGTTGAGGTTGAGTGTGATATGAAGAATTATTTGTTTAAGCTGAGCATGATATGAAGAATTATTGCTTGAGGCTAAGCATAATATAAAGAATTATTGCATGAGGCTGTGTATGATATGAAGAATTATTGGTCGAGGCTGAGTGTGATATACAAGTCATATCGTACAATCAGTAGTCCATTTTCTTTATAGTTTATATAGTAACAGTAGAATTTTTCATATTCATGAAAGATCTTGTTATTGCTTGACATAGAGTTAAGAATAAAAAAACGTGCATGCCAGTACATTGTTGGACAGCTCTTGGCCAGTCAGAAACACAGTAAAACATTGAATTCTTATAGATTGTTGGATAACCCTTGGCCAATCAGAAACAAGCAGTAAGACATATTGAATTCTAATAAATTGTTGGATAGCTCTTGGCCAATCAGAAACAAGCAATACAAATTATATTAAATCCTGATTAATTGTTGGACAGCTGTTGGCCAATCAGAAACAAACCTTAGAAACTATCAGAAACAAACCTTAGATACTATCATGAAATGGTAATGTTTTGCAATATAAAAACTAGAAATTTTATAATTGAATAGAGTAAATGACAAAGTATATCATGTAATCGCAAGAGTTGTACAATGTTCATTTTCCTCCAGTTTTTAACTGCGTTTATAGTAAGTTATTATCAACACAAATAGTGCCAGGACAAKGTGTTATTATTAGTATTTTCATCCTTGGAGATTGTGCAACGTGCTGTTATGAATGCCACAAGGTGCAGTTTTTGGATTGAGTCCATTTCACTCATCAGTAATTTCTAGTAGGCTCACACTGGGAGAGCACAGGTATAAGATTGTATTTTTAGCCTCAACTACCTCAAAGTATTTGCTCTCTCGTGCGTCAACTCACAGCTATTGCTTATCATGTATAAATAGCTCTGGTAAAGCAGCCGCAAGAGGTATTTAAAGAAGGCTTCTCTGTTTTTATTCTTGTTGATGTTATCTTCATTTGCGTAGATTCTCAAATGTTCAATTTAGAATTCTTTTTTTTTCTTTTTCTTTTTTTTTTCTTTTTTTGCAGACATTGTACGTCAGGTCTAGAAAAAGACAAAACAGTTATTTTTTCCTTAGRTTTAAGTGTTATGAATGTTTATAGATAGGCATACTATTCATCTAGTTTCATTTCAAAGTTTTTTCCAGGACTCATTTAGTTCATCAAACAAGTGTTTTACTAATTTTACTGTTTCGGAATAGCCATTTTTGTGTAAACCTTGGTTTACTCTTTCGCCTTTGTTTCATATGCCTCCGCTGTCTCCATTCTGTCTTCTCAAACAYCATGGGTTACTAATGTTGAATTAGATGTCCCAATTGTAGCTCCAAACCAGTATAACATTACATTTAAGCAAACATTTGAAACCTAAGATACGAAGATCTCTAAATAAAGGGGTAATCAATGATTTATAACAGAGAAATAAAAAGCGGCAGTCGAGCRCACGTTTCTTGATAACTAACTGTGTTTAGTCTTGGTCTTTYGTGCGCGAAATAACACAACATGTGTGCCAAAAWGATCAGACAACACACTAAAATGGGTATTCAAAATATTTATATCATGATTATAACTATCRGCTTTTCTTGGCAAAATGTTTTCGTACAGTTTCTTATACTATTTCAGCAGTCATTTCTTGTATAATTCTTATTTGTTGTTGAAGAATTATTATTGTCTGAGCAACACAGGTTTTTTTCTCAAATTTGTATTTAATGTTTATGGTATGTGATAGAATAAAATTATAGTCTAGTAGATGTTATCTTTAAACTGGGAAATATGGTCCAAAATCCAGAAACTCCTCATTTATCTAGGACAATTCGCAACCCTGTATACTACTTGAAACTATTATGCAATTTCATAATTTCCAGATAGAAATTTTATTGATGTTGGATAAATGGTTTCTTCTGGCGAATTAGACCAAATTATTAAATATTACATATTAGAATCCATCAAACTATGGACTATTTATTACAAATCCATCATTCTGRACTATGGTATATTCATGTTATRCCATGGTCGCAATGAWTGGAGCAAAATTAGTTGMAAAAATGTTGAGAAAAATTGGTGAMCTTTTTTTCAAATTTGCCCTATAGTTYKATRGATACTAAWSAATTAGATCACTTKGGCTAGTGAACTACGAGTCCATTTGGCTGAATACGGCCTTATGGACTATCAACTCGAAGTTCACTCAACCTCGTAGTCTAATATTGTTATTAAAATATCAGTAGTGATACTGTTATATTAATTCTTATTATAATTACAGTTATATTTTATCAATTATTACAAGAAATAGTTGCCAAATTGTTTTTTTTTTCATGCAGTCAAGTGTTCAACACTGTTATTCCCCGAATTAGGAGATTTTATGATATAACTAGACACAAATCTTGAGACTTGTGGCTTATTCAGAAGAATTGACACCCCTGAGATGTGTTTTGAACTAAACTGTTCCTGCAAAGATAGACTCTGAATTGTTTTTATTCCATGTGTTAACACTTAAAATTTTTATTCTCATTCATTTTAACTAAAAAATGAAACAAATACAAAATGCAACACATAGAATAATTGAAAATTCATATACTCTATTCTTTTTTGGCTCCTGTATTTATTTTTTCCTCAAGAAACTGTTTATTAGAGAGGAGCATGCAMACAACAGGTTATTTTATCCATTTTTTTCTGCTTATTTTGTGTTGAGAACTGTTTTCTCTTCTTGTAATTTCAGTTTTTTCTTTCAGTGCAAMTTACTTTTCGATTGTGATTTGTAACACTTTTTGTGTATTTAGAAAGTGAAAAAACATCAAGGATTTTTGTAATAAAGTCATTGTGCTATTTATATACACTCTTTAAACCTGTCATTACAAGAATCACATTTTTTATATCTTTGTGTATTTTTCTTCCTTAGGATTATTTTCCATAAAWATATTATTTGGTTGTTTTTACAAGACAGAAACTAAAGAAAAGGCGAGAAAGTGAAAGTTTCTAAAATAAAATTGCTATTTTGATAGCTTCTATTTTTAGTCTCTTCAATTATTCATACCTTCACTTTCTTCAAAACAGTTTCTCATTAAGATTGTYCAGCTAAACTAGAAAACCTAAATTAATCTTATTTATGCTCTCATTCTGAAAGTGACTGCAAACTTTCATGTTTTTTTTCCTTTTTATATGTTTGTTTTGTTCATGACTTCACTAAATAATGATAAACATGTGAGTTATATATTTTTTTGTGTTATTTTCTTATAGTTTTAGTATTTAATTATTTATATGCAGTACTAAACCCTCCATGATTACTTCATTGTGAGATATTCGTGTGTATAAGAGCCTACTATATATAGATTCTGTTGCTATTTTTATACATGACCTCATCTTACTATCATTCCTAAATTCATGAATTGAAAACAATTTGCATTGGATATTAGGGATTTTAACTGAATATATAGTTAGTCTTATGTATTTTTGGATTAATACTTTAAATTGATACTCACACTTCTCATATCATCACTTCTTTWTATGATATGTTTACTAGAGCATAGCAGTGTTTCTCATTCTGGCGTGAAAAGAAAAATTGAAATTTGCACATCAATTTTACAAAAACTCATTTCTGTTCTTATTACTTGACAGAAAGTCATGCAAAGTGATGTGGATATAACATCTTGACAGGAAGGATATACCAACACATATGTTAAAAATAGGATCTTTCTCTCTTTTCAAAACAATAAAGTATAATCTTTGTTCATTAGTTATATTGAATCAAACAAAAAAAATTAGGAATTGATTTTCTTTTCTAAACAACAAAGTGTATTAATCTTTTTACATTTTGTTGTTATAATCTCATTATATAATGAAGCATTTATGTGTTAATTTTAGATCTTTATATAGCATTTTGTGGACTTTCTCTATTTTGTTTTCATTTTATTCTAGCTATCATGATAATTATCTCCGTATACAAATTCAAAATATACTTATAACCGGAATGTTCAAATTACTTTAAAAAGTTCTTGGTTATTTTCTTCATTTCCCAGACTCTTTTATTACTAATAGCTCCCCACATTGATAATTATTATCATGCCTAGGGTCAATCTTAAATTTTATTGAAAATCATATGTAAACATTTGCTATTTTTACCTAAAGTGGGTGGGGTGTCGTGGGTCAATGACATCAAGATAACTTACGGAATACCATACCATAGTCAACATGTTTTAACATGGTAAAATTGGCTATCGATATAGAGTGAATGACGGGGGGTTTATAGCCCACTCTTTGCTTTTATATCTTTATTATTCACCATACCCTTCTCTGTTGTTTCTGTAAGTTAAAAGACAAGTTTACCTTGAATTAGAATATGAAGTATTTTTTGACATTCACAGTTTTACATACCAAAATATATTCTAGTTTTATTTTGTAATCAAACAAAAATATTTTTTACATTTTGGTGTGAAAGTTTGATCTTTTGTTTGTTTATAACAATATTTTGGGGTTGCTAATTCAAACAAAGTCCTTTTTTGAAAGTTGGTCTTGTGATTCATATCAAATGAGTTTATTCAAGTTTGGCCATTACTTTTGTCAATTTTTGTCCCAGTTGGTTAAATTTCTTTTTTGTGAGCGTGTTTTCAACCATAAGTGTAATATTTTGTGGGAATTCATATTTGACAGAATACAATCATTAAGGAATTATGTTTTATTCCCATTTATCTATTTTTTGATTACTCAAATTTGTTTTTCATTTTTCCTTTCTCATTTTTCTCATTTTTCATTTTTTTCGTTCACAAAATTCTCATCCCACCCTTGTTTTTCCCTCGAACACAATAAGAGACAGTTTTCCTTTTTCCAACTTTTATCATGGTCAATAAACAAGTTTCCACTTTTCATTTCATATTTTCCCAGGGTTTTTTTTTAAATTCTTTCCTTTTTCTTTTCAGCTTTCTTGACAGGGTAGAAATAATCAAACAAAAAGACTACCTCCCAACAGAGCAGGTAAAAAATGGTTTTCTCTTTGCAAACTCAAAGAGGATCACTGTTATAATGATAACTTAAAAATATCACAAATACAAAGCATTCATTCTTTATCCTTTCAAAAAAATGTTATGTAAAAAGATAAATTTAACACCGTAAAAAAGTAGGTGAAATAGTACTGACGTTTCAGTTGTTAATCCTTTGTCGGAGGAAGAAAGATGAACGTCTGAAACATCAGTAAGTTATTACACCTACTTTTTGCGGTGTTAAATATATCTTTTTACACAACTGTTTCTTTAGAAACACTTACGCAGCTTACAGCAGTTTACCACTAGTTCCCACCCTTTCAAAAATATGCTAAGTTTTTGGTTCTCCAGCAAAAGTTTCCTGGGCAATGCAACTCTCAAGGACAAGAGATTTGAAAGTTTTATTTGTCTTCTCTTGGCTCATTCTTTTGCATTGTACCTCTTCCTACTTTTTGTATACTTGTATCTTCCAACATRCATGAACAGTCATTAAAAAAGAAGATTTCCATGWTATAATAATAATCCTTWAACTGACATTTTGTTTGTTTGTTGCAGGACTTGCTTAGATGTCGTGTTTTGACATCTGGAATTATTGAAACAAGATTTGAAGTTGATAGGGTAAAGTTTCAGTAAGTATCGATCATGATTTACTTCTTTGTAAGGTTAAAAATGAGTTRTTTTCCAGGTGTAGGGATGTGACATTTGTMCATACACCTTATTCAAAAATGTTGWCRAATGTTGTTGAATGKTGAATTGTGATTKTCGAAGGRAGATTGCATGACTGAAAGGGACTATGGTTACACAGTTTTCACAAAAAAACTGGCACTTGACAATTCACATTCGCTATTTTATCTGACAACCTTTTTTTATGTCATTTTGTGGTTGTGACATTGTTGTTTATTCGCAGCATGTTTGATGTTGGAGGCCAACGTGACGAAAGAAGAAAGTGGATACAGTGTTTTAATGGTCAGTTGATTGACATTTCAAAGCTTTATAGGTCTTTATTACATTTTATTCCATGATAACTCCCTTGTGACTCAAACACAGGGTTCATGCTACTTTTTGAAAAGTCCTGGAATTGAAAAGTTGCTTGAAAAGACCTTGAAAATGAGAAAAATCAATAAACTCCTGGAAAACTCCTTGAATYTGATTAATTTGACATGTTGCTTTTTAGCTTTTGGATTGAAATGTGGCTATTTTTGAAAATTGACACTGGAAACTTTCTTCAAAATTCTCATTTTTTTGATTAAAAAGTTCTTGAAATTCCTGGAATTTTTTAGTGAAAATGTACCACAAACCCTGCAAACAAACATTGGAAAGTCGAAGAAGATTTTATGAGAGATATCATTGAATTTTATGGTGAATTCAATGTAATATTATTTGAACAAACCACTAAACTGTACATATCAAATGTAATTCTAAGGTCTTATAATAATTTCGTACTTTAAGTAGATAGGTTAGACAGGTAGATGGAATAATTCTAGACATAATTGTGAAGGTAAGCTACTGTAAAACTATATTCAAATAATGCATATACCGATGTCCATACAAAGTTTGTAAAGTGAAATTTAGGACGCACTAAACTTAAACTGTACTAAACTGTACAAAATTATACTAGTTGAACAAAAGTAAACAAAAGAGTTAGCATAGTAGAACTAATGTGTCAAGGTTTTACTAAATGCACGCTAGAGTGATCGCACTTAAAGCATGCAACTGTACAAAATCTAAGTAGTAGTAATTTGTACTAAAAGTGGACCTGAAGCAAGACGGTATTGAATGCTTCAATTGTATCAATTCAATTTAATTTGCGTATCGCAATTGCACGATTTACTAAATACAACTAAATTGCACTATTTAGTTTGTACATTTGCACGGATTAAGTGCAGTCACTCTATTACAACTCCAGTAGAGTACAAACACTAAAACTGAGCAACATAAATACCACTAAATTATGCTAATTCTATTGTTTTCTATTGTTTAATTAACACTATTTTGTAGTAAATAGTGCAAAGTATTGCACACATTTGTACTCTAATATATTCAATACACGTTTGTACTCTAATATGATTTTATTCAACATTAATATATTTTTTTCCATTTTTTCTCCAGATGTTACGGCTATCATATTTGTGGTAGCATGCAGTAGTTACAATTTGGTTCTTCGAGAAGATTCCACTCAGGTTAGTTTAGTCATCATTAAGTTGTTTTTATTGCTATAAATTTCTCCTTTTTAGTATATATATCCTTCTGTTAGTGACCAACAGGGGCTTGGAGAGTCAGGGGGGTGTCTGCCCCCCATCTTTCCCGTTTAGAATATTACCGAGGTAATAAAATACATACAAATATAAAATCAACTTTTATCTTATTGTACACTTTTCCTCGTCAAAGTGTTTCTTGTTGTGTTTTAGATTATTAACATTTTTATTATATTAAAAAAAACTCCTTCCCTAGGTCATGTTTTTGCTAAAGCAAACTACAGTGTTTACCCCTTATTCACGAGCAATTTTAGATAGTTTTTTTAGATTAACTTTAGATTTTGGGAAAAACTCTCACATTGACTTCACGTTAGTTTAGCATCAATTTAGAAAAAACAACAAACAAAAATTTCTTAATCGAAGTCATTCGTGATAACTTCACAAACACGCACATGTGAACATTGATTTTAATCAAGTTGCTTTTTGTTTTCCAGAATCGATTGAAAGAGTCCCTTGAATTGTTCAGAAGTATTTGGAATAACAGGTATATTACCCACATCTCATTGAAAACTCATTATTATAGGGAAATGTGGTAGAACATTTGAACTCCGGTAAAAAAAATACATTAAAAAAAGACGTTATAAAGCGTTTGGAGTTAGTGATCTCCTTTCGTTTTGTGTCGTTTCGTTTTGTGTCGTTTTGTTTCGTATTGTTTCGTTTCGTTTTCGTTTTCGTTTACAAATTGTTTGCAAAGTTCTCTTTCTCTGTGACAACGTTTTTGCCTTAAATGGTGAACTTCTACTGTTTATTCAGGGTTTTTTAATATACGTTGATGTCTTCTGTCAACACTTGCACCGTGCCCACTTTGAAGCTGTCCTAGATTTAAGAAACCTCTTTCATTAGGACCACGTTATCTCTTCTTATATCCAAAATGAAGTCATGTTTCTGATAAATGTTGTTCTCTTTATTTTGCAGATGGCTGAGAACAATTTCTGTAATTTTATTTTTAAACAAGCAAGACTTGCTAAAAGAAAAAGTGAGGGCTGGTAAATCGCTGATTAAAGACTACTTCCCAGATTTTGAACGGTACAGGACGCCCCCAGATGGTAAGAAAGCATTGGCTTCTGTTACTTTTACAAGCTCTTGTAGAGTTCAAAGTCCACGCACATCCCGAGAATCTTTGCTTGAATTTAATTGAAAAATCGCCGCCATCTTTGATTTTGAGCCAATCAGAAAGCAGCTTAAGGCCCGTTTACACTTGCGGATTTTCCCATCGCGCAACTAAAATCGTACGTGTAAACAGCCCTGCGATTGTTGCGACGATGGAAAATCGCCGCGAAATCGTAGCCAATCTTCAAGCATGTTCGGAACTCTGGCGATGGTCGCGCAACGAAAAAAATCGCAAGTGTAAACGGGGCTTTTAAAACAACAGAACTTTTTAAAGCAAAACGAAAGCTCGCAAAGATTCACGGATGCAAGAAGGCGTTTAAGATAGAAAGAAATCGTGATTTATGTACGTAGCTTTCATATTCTTCATAAAAATCCAATTCTTTGACCATTAATTAAGAATATGAACTATATCTCAAAATATTCACTCAAAATAGTTACAATATTGTACCTTTAGTTCTTTATTTAGCCAATGGTCGCTATCAAACATCTTAACAACTTGTTTTTCAAGTGTATCGTAAATCGCATGTTTTATCAAGCCAATAAAAGCATTTGTTATATCTCAATATAACCCAGCCAATCAGAATGTGTATTCTATTTCTGTTCCAGCCACGGCAGAGCCAGGTGACGAGGAGGCAGTTACGAGAGCAAAATATTTTATTCGAGACGAATTCCTTGTGAGTATGAAGAATAGCTAATACAGTTTCTAAAACTAAAATTGCACTTCTTTGGAAGAACTGTTATTATGAGAGAATACAATAGATTTAGTGCTTCCTTGATTTAGAAACCTTCCCCCTACGCTAGTATTGCTCGTTTTCAACCATTTTCATGAGATTCAAAAGATAAAAGACCGGCGGCAATGTTGGAGGAATGAACAATAGATACTAATGAGAAATCCTTTGTTGAAGTTCGTCCAAGATGGCCGCTGTGACGTATGGTGAAAACGAAGAATACGTTCCCCCTCGATAGTATACTCTTACGATAGTGATAGTACACCTTCCCCTCACGATAGTACACCTTCCCCTCACGATAGTACACCTTCCCCTCACGATAGTATACCTTCTCCCCTAAATCTCGCAATGTTTGTGTTTTTTTAGCGGATCAGCACAGCAAGCGGGGATGGCAAACACTATTGCTATCCACACTTCACTTGCGCTGTTGACACAGAAAACATAAGACGGGTGTTTAATGACTGCAGAGATATAATCCAGCGGATGCATCTTCGACAGTATGAGCTGCTGTGATGAAGTCTGTATCACCCGCCGTCACCTCAACCCCCCCTTATCGTCGTTACACAACACCTCGGAGCTGCCTCGTTCGAGATGTTGTACTCTGTTGATATCAAGGGCAGAAATGTGTGTGTTATCACAAGTGACAATGGCCGTGGTGTAAATATGATACTCTATATGTAAAACAAACTAGACAAACCTTTTTTCTTTACTGCGTGACGCACACTACACCTGCCGGGGGGGGAGCAGCGCGGTCGCCGCAGCGAGTCATCATGAGCACTTGGCATGTATATTAGTATCGCATTCATATGGCTCGCTGAGGTTGGCATTACTCTGCACCCCCCTGGTAGCGTGGCTCTTTCATTTCTGGGAATTCTCAAAACTGTTTTGGTCGAGATGTAGTCGGAGCGCCACTCGATTTATGACCGTGTGCTTGGAGTGTAATTCTCACGCTGGGACTTTGATTCGATAGGAGCAGGTACTGTGAATTGCACTTATAAACGAACTCTATAACTATTGAGAAATTCGAGATTATTAAGAAAGACATGTACTATTGAGCTCTTTAATCAAATTGGCTGTTATTTGTAACAATATCAAGCAATGTAATTTTTATTGCTACTACTATTATCCTTTTGAACTCCTAAATTATATCTTTAAAGTCGTGGTTATAGTTCTCCAGTTTCATCATTGTCATTAAGGATTACTGTTCTTTCCATCATCAGTATGTTCAGGCACGGCCGCTACCCCCCGTTGACGTCATAACTGTTTCGGCGAAGTGCATCGTGGTATTGGTAAAATTATCAAAATGGCGGACTTCTTACGAAATCAACGAAGAAAATGTTAAAGTTTCTTTGCAAAATTAAGCCCTTTGTCGAGAATGTTTTGGACCATACTTAGACATCTCATTCAATGTTCGTCCAAGTCGTTGTCGACAACAGTTACCGTTAATTTCGCAGAGAAACTTCTACTTCTCCTTCAAAGATTTTATAAGATATCCGCCATCTTGATTTTTTTTATCAATACCATAATGCATTTCGCCGAAACAGACATGACGTCAAAAAGAATATCAACTTTGTGTCATTATATTATAACAAATTTGAGCAGGTTCATTCACACCGTCGTCTGTCGATCTACGCGTATAAGTTAGTACAAACTACGACGAATGTCTTGACAATATATAATAGTATTACACGGACCGGACTACATCAACATCGTGAAGCATCTTGAGTATTATATATCATATATTAATATATTTATAATATCAGAATATTATTAATTCAAACGGCTATCGTATTTCCTGAGGATTAGCTGTCGAAAATTGTTCTTCTGTATCGCTCTCTATGTAAAATACTGTTAGGCCTTATTCTACGCAGTATCTGCTCGAAGTGCGCTGTTTCGTGTCGTCCTAGTGCCTTTTCGCCTATAAATACAGCTCTTTTCCTGTGAAGACGAAGTCTGAATAAGCATTGTTAGGTTTATAAGTCGCTAGAGTTATACTAGGAACAAGTTCTCTCTGCTAAGCGTTTTGTCTTCAAGTAAAACTCCGGGTTTTAAAATCTCTTCTTCAACTCCTTGCGACATAAGTCGAGTGGCAATATGAAAGAATTCGAATTTATGCCCAGTTTATTGTAAAATATTAAATGAAGTTTTGGGAATTCCCGGATTATGAATTGTAAGGGAGGGGAGGGTTAATGTTTGGTGTTCCTATGGAAACAGTGTGCATCTGTCAGTCACTTGATTCAAGTGGGTATTTTTGTCCAAGCACCACACCGCGCATGCGCACGATCATGCGCAGCGACGTTGTGGTTGAGATGGGAAGGGGAGGGAAAGGGAGGGAGGGGAGGGTGGGGGAAAAAAAGTCGCCAGGCCATTCCATGATCTGATTACCATGACAACTGCCCTTTGAAAGTGTGAATAAGTACATATAATTATTTAGATTTATATTATAAACATGGAAAGACATTTTAACATCCCTAGTAGGAAACCACTAACCATAGATGAGACGTAGAAAAAAAAATCTAAAGTTCATTAACAACCCAATCCCTCCTCTTTCTTGAAAAACAAAAGAAATATGTTTGTTCGGCGGCAAAGCCCGTCGTTCAGTAAAGAAATTGGCCAACATTGACCAAGATGATTTGAATTGCCTTTGTTTTTTAACCCTTGTTCAATCGCCTCGTCTACAAGAAGTTCTACTGTACAAAGATTTGGTGTTGTAAATGTGCTTGTGAATTCCAGAGTAAATAGTCCTAGTTTTCGTCGTCTGTATGTCATAGTTAGATGTGTAAGTAATAGTCTAGGTTAGTTGAACCAAATAGTTACCAAACAATTACCATGAAAAACATCAAGCAAATAGAAATGGAAATCGTAACTGTTCGTCAATAAAGTATTACCAAATAATATACGGGAAGTGTTCTGGAGGATGCACTCAATACGTGGTCTGTCTGTCCAAAACGCCCTCCCGTATGTGTATGCTCTGGCCTATATTGTACATTGACTAGAAAGTCCTTCGTTTTTTCACGCGCGAAATGAAAAGAAGTAGTTGAAAAGAGAATGTAGTTTATAGTTATCAAAAACGAAAGTGACAAAAAGTTTTCGCAGATTAACTTCAATCCCTAAATGAACAAGGAAATTCTCCCCGAAATCAGTTCCAAACGAATGTCAATTAAACTATGTAAAGCTCGAAGCCGAGATGCTGTCATAAGTTTTATGTCAAAATAAACCATTACTCGATAAGTTGTGTSGTCAGCAGTCTCAATCCTTGCGCATGCGAAGTTTTTGCAGTGGAAAACAAGCGAGCGCACAATTTGCGTCAAAGCGCGGGAAATTTTTTATTATTATTATGATGATTTTTATTTTTTAGTGAGTTTGGGAAAAAGGAAAATTGTTTGGCCAAACTGGGCTGAGGCAACCTCGTCCACAGGGTCTCTCGTCCTCCATTTTGCGAGTAGAGAAGCCCCTGGGGGCGAGGTTGGTTGGGGCGGTGACTTCCACAATTGCATGACTAGACCGAAAAAAGATTATGGATAGGAATCTTTTCAATGCGAGGCGTATCCTAGTCAAAAAAGCAAAACTCTGTTTATCAGCTTTAGGTCCTTATTATTCTGTCATGCATGCTATAAAACACACATACTTTCTTTCGGTCTAATGTAAAGACTACTTTCGCGTTTCTTTCTCTTATTTCATTCGGACATTGGGTAAAAAACCGCTGACCRCCTAATAGAAGTTGAACGGACTCTCATTGTCGGCCCGACTTTGTTTCAATAGATCGTATCGTAGTTCGTATATAGCTATTTCAAGAAAGGTTGTCGTATGAATGTCAATAGTCTCCTTCACGGTTACCTGCGCCATCTTGAAAGGTAGCCGCGCCTTTGCATCGAAGCGAGACAACCGTTGAGCGTGCAATGATAGAAACCTTCTTTCACACCTACAAACAATTATTCACAGGTTTCTATCATTGCACGCTCAACGGTTGTCTCGCTTCGATGCAAAGGCGCGGCTACCTTTCAAGATGGCGCAGGTAACCGTGAAGGAGACTATTGTCGAACGTCGATTGCACGACCGAAAGTAGCCATGGGTTTTGCTAATTGATTAAAAATAACTGATTTATACTGTAAGATAGTCTGTGGTCAATTTAGTCTCCATTTMCACGTAAGGTAAATCCAATAAGTGATTTTTTTGTCAAAAGGGTGTAGCCATAGTCCCTTTCGGTCGTGAATCTCCCTTCGACAATCGGTTCACAAACAGAAATAGTAAACATTAAGTATGGTTAAATTAGCAATCTAATCCAGTAACCAGTTCATATTGATGATACTGAAAAGCTTTATTACAATTTCAAAGTGCTAATATACACGATTTTCAACATTTTTATTGATCTCAGTCACCTTGGCTTCACTAAACACCCAAAGTTGTATTATGTAATTTCTGAAGATTTGTTAAAGAAACGACTTTTCCAAGTTTTCAAACGTCTAAAATGATAAATTATTATCAAAATAGACGATTCTTCCTCATAAATCAGATTAATACCTAAAAGCTACCGTAATACAGCAGCAAAATCGTCCAACTTGTCTCACAACAATGCTGCAAAACAAGTGGCAAAGCGATGTTGCGCGTTTTACTACTGGCGAAACAAATTTTCTCGCATTGAAATAATTTGTTACAGATTGAGCTAATCCTTATTTCTGATTGGCCAATGCAGTCAGCTGATTGTCACGCGACGTCATTTTGCTGCGAGATAAGTTTGGTTGATTTAGTAATACGGGAAAAATCTTAGTTGAGTTTTATGTTCAAAAAGTAGAACCATCTTCTACTTTCTGCAGCAAACGTTTTCAACTTGCAACAAAATATTTTGCTGCGAAAAAAAGTTGGTTTGCCACTAGAGTAAAACGCGCAACATCACTTTTTCAACTTGCTTTGCAGCAATATAGACAAGTTGTACGATTTTGCTGCTCGTATTACCATAGCTTTTAAACGAAGCGTTAAAACGTTTATGGCTTSTGYAAATCCCAAAACATGCCATCGGTTTAAACGAACAGAAAAAATCTGAAGCAATATTTGGGCAGCCTATAATCTGGGTAAAATACATATCTTTGTAAGTTACTTGCGAGTAAAGTAAGATCCTGAGYATTGCTTTTAATTACGAAGTCGTTCATTAAGTTTACAAGGCACATAGCACCTGACGTCCTGCAGCCCGCATAGAAATGAAGGAAGGTTCCGGAGTACAGCTCAAACAGCAGTCTCACAAGCCTCATTTTTTCTTTTTTTGACAATCCTAACTGCAGTCTGTCTCAACTTGAGYGATCCCAGAATAAAAACACATGGATTGAGAAGTGACCTTATTTGGCAAAAGAACAAGGCAACAAACATTTGGACACCGCCATCTACTTTCTGTGATTCGCCCAATAAATTTAGAATTGCGAAGGATAGAGCTGGAATAAAAGACACTACGTAKATCGCCATTACAACCATGGATGTTCTGCTGGAGGAAACGATCACTCTTCTCCTTTCTCTCGCTTTCATCGATTCCTCGTCTCCGTCGTTTGCACCAAACTCATTGACTTTCTCTTTGAGGAGCTTTTGAAGTTCTCCATAGAGCTTTCCTGTAAAACCACCGACGGCAAGGATGATTGCAGATGCGATGATTGTGATCAGCAAAACTTGGAACTTGCCACCTGATATTACGTTTCGTTTAGTGTAGTCAATAAAATCTTCATTCTCTTCTGGGAGATCTTTAGTATACCTTAGAGCGTTGAGAATAACGACGAGAAGGACTGTAGCTGACCAAACGATGATGACTGCGATGCGCGCTTTCTTCACTGTCATCATTTTCTTGTACTTGGCAGTATRTTTGACTACTAAAAGTCGATCTAAAAGCACCACTATCGTAGAGKTAAAGGTCAAAAGAAGCACAAATGTAAACACYGTGCCAATAGCAACGATTACTAAAGTTCCTTTAAGATTTCCAGTTTTGAAAATCAAAAAATCCAGAGCAAATGGAATGGTAATCATGACGGAGATTAGGTCGGCTATTGCACAATTGAAAATCAAGTTCATGTGCCCTCTACGATGAAGCAGTCTTGATTTCCACAGCAACACGAGAAGAAAGATGTTGCCAATCATGGTGGCTCCCAACTCAACAGCAAAGAGAATTATTTTCGTGGTATCAGACATTTCTGACGAATTAAACAGTCAGTGTTTCTTGTCCGTGTTCTGAGCAATAAAAGGCGTGTTTTTGGAGTTCTTGTTCTTGTTGATTTACTTTTGTTTTATATAAGATTGACGTAAACTCATGGAAATGGTATTATTCTGCGTTTTGAAAGCTTTTGTCCAGAAAGTCTTTTAGGGCAGTTTTAGCTTCCTCATATATGTGGAAATTATTCTTTGCTTGATTAATCAACTTCTATAGTTTGCTCAAACAATAAATAACTGATGAACACCGKTTTATTACCGACTTATTGTCACATATCTTAAGTTTCCTTCCTTGTGAACCTCTTAAATTGGTATTACTTATAATAAAATACGAGAGTTCACTACATTAAGTCCTAAGCGAAAAACAAGCTTCATCTCAGCTGTCATGATTTATTTTAAAAAGCCACTGTATAATTACGGTTTTGACTTTTGACACAATAGACATTCATACTTATACTCCGATTGCAAACCCACTCATGACGATGAGAACCCCCCCCCCCTCTGTATGCCCTGTATGTATCTGTAATGTCCAAGCGAAAAATTGTCCAGTATTTACCGGTCCAAGATTGTAGGTTATCATGATCAATAATTTTTGCTATAATAATAATAATATCTAAGTACAATTTTAACTTATCATAGTAACTCTGAAAGCACTCCTTTTGAATGGCGCTGGAAGGATAAAAGGACGCATTTGGAATACACAATTCCTCACTTGTCTACAATCATGTGCCTAAAGGCATGTGTAGCTGACGCACGGAAGAGTCTAGCCTGAGTATCAGGCTCTCTCTCCTTTCTCGCTCCGCCATAAACCCCTTCCAGAGAGCCTGATACTCAGGCTAGGAAGCTAGAGTCAGTATCTACAGCAATTCCTGGATTCTCCACGTWCGAGCAATGTTCTTCAGCTTGTTTTTCTTTTCTTGTTTGATTCTTATTTTCTTTAGAAGTCCACAGGCAACCCGAGCAAGGTATTTATCCAGCTTTACGGTCAAAGTATGTGATTTTACCTTATATCATTTGGTTTATTAAGCATTGTTCTCTGTGTTTTTGAGGGGTTCTGGACCCTTGAGTGAAAAAATAACTTCACCAGTAAGTACTAGTATAGGAGTATAGGAGCCTTGCTTGGGTTGCCTGTGGAAGAAGTTTACTTGCCTGATCCGTACTTATCAAGCCAGACAAAAGCCAGACTCGTACCAGTCTCTTCTCTCACTTTTTGGTCTCTCCGAGCGTAAAAAAATACAAAGAGTAGCGACTGGGTRCGAGTGACCTCCAAATCTACAATTGTAGCCTTCTCCGCAGCCGACTCTCTATATCATAAATAGCTTTTTTTTTACAAGTGATTGGGCTTCCTTTGGCGAGACGCGGGGAGACTGATGWCTTTGTATTTTCGTTACCAGTCTTCCCCTGACAGAGTGAGAGAGCGGGAGAGAATGAGGTTGCCTCGAACACAGGGACTGCTTCTAAATAAGGCTAAAATATAGATCTGGCATATTTAGAAGCCTAATAAATTGTATGAATAGCTTCTGGAAATCCATGATTTGCAAAGAATTTGGATTTAAATATTAACAATTTTCTGACATTAAAGTAAAGTCAAAAAAACCGTGAAATAGATATTACAACGACGAATACACCTCTAAYTATATTGTTYTCTTTTGTGTCTATTTGACTATCACACTTTAATAGTCCAATTACGTCTGTTTCACGGGATTAATGACTATAACTATTACTTACACAGTTCGTTATTCGTTTCTGACGGATGATCTTCGGGCCTGCGCAATATAAACGTTGTAGACAGACATGTTTTCAGAGAATGTGAAAAGGAAAATCGTCGCTGAATGAAGATTACATGACTGAAAAGAACTATGAGCTTCATTTACAGACTGAGGGAATATAAATTGTAGTAAGCTAATCATTCCAGAGTCTTTAAACCCGTGAAACAAAATTTGACTATTAAGGCCCGTTAACGATTTTTGCAGCGCGATAATCGCCACTTTGCTATCGCGCAGCTAAAATCGTACTTGTAAACAGCCCTGCGATTGTTGCGGCGATGGAAAAATCAAGAATGTTCGAAACTCAGGAGATATGGTCGCGCGACGATCGCCGCGAGAATCGCGCTGCAAAAATCGCAAGTGTAAACAGGCTTTAAACGTGTGAAAGAAAAATAGACACTAAAGAAAACAATGCGATTAGAGCGTACTAAAGCCCCGTTTACACTTGCGAGTTTTGCAGCGCGATTGTCGCGCGACAATCGCCACTTTGTTCTCGCGCACCTCAAATCGTACGTGTAAACAGGCCTGCGATTGTCGCAGCGATCGAAAATTGCGGCGAGTTGCAGCTAAATTTCAAGCATGTTCGAAACTAAGGCGATTGTCGCGCGACAATCGCGCTTCAAAAATCGCAAGTGTAAACGGAGATTAAGGTGTATTAGTGTAATACCAATTTCACGGGTTTTTTGACTCCAATCTAATTAACTTAAGCGCTTTTATGGGATTCTTGGTTTGTCCTTTTTCGCGCCTTTAGTGTTTGATACTTTTAATTTTCAGCCGTCGCTCTCTAGAGTTTATTCTGTTGCTTACTTACGACTACGACGTCTACTACATAACGATACCCGAAGTGTCAGAAACACCAAGAATGCATCTCAGGATAACATACGGTTAAACGAAACTGCAGGCCCGTAGGCTGCCTTACAAATTGGGGGGAGGGAAGGGGGGTTCGTTTTTCATAATAATGCATCGGGAMCTAAATTAAATGTTCAAACTAAATTCGTTCAAACTAAATGAGCTAAATGCACAGGTATAGTGTGTATGCTCTAGCTGCTGGCATGAGCAGTTCATAACAAAATACACACATACTTCATAACAAAAAAAATTAAAATAGAACAGTAAAAAAAGCTTGTGGGGGGAGGGGGGTCCTCTGAACCCCCCCCCCCCCCCCCCCCCCCCCCCCCAGCCTACGGGCCTGAACACTGCTTATATCATACACTAATAACATCAACTTTAGTGGTTGCGTGATATCTACCGAGTCAAAACTATAAACAAAATTCAAAGACATCGGATGTTTGACAATTTATTGATATCACATCGACTTATTATGCATGTTACAGAGGAATGCAAGTCAGACCGACGCTCTCACGGTCGTCGAGTCGAGATTACTACAATAAGAATACGCCTATCGATAAGTTATTGAGTCTATAGCAACACCACTACAGTGTAAATTGTTTAAATAATGGACTTTCCAGCTATCTCTTTGATCTATTGTCTTAAAGCTATTGGTCAAGCGCTATTGGACAAACTTAACGATCATTTGCGGYCTAGAGTCATGTGGTGACAGTTCTCTTCTCTTTAGTTTATCACTCCAGGGACACTGCTTCTAGCAGCTTGACATCATTAGTCATGCTCAACGGCTGAGTTGTGAATTTTAGCTCTGCTTCGGCCTCTGACAACACCCTGTAGCCCCACCCTGTTTCAGACATGATCTTCTTCAAGAGGTCCTCCGAGCCGATTTTGAACGAGAACGCGAACAACAGCCGGCCATTTTTCTTGAGATGGTCCTTGGCACCCGAGAGGAATTCCCGCAAGCCTTTGTATTCTACATCAACTAGACCTCGCTCCAGGGGACTCAAAGCTCGCTTTTCTTGTGGATTGGGCCCAGCGAACGGAACGAATGGAAAACTCCAAAAAATKAGATCGAAGTGACGATCCTTGATGTCTGATGCACTGTAAACATCTCCAGTGGAAACATTAACTTGATTCTCCAAGCCGTGCAGCGTCAAGTTCTCTTTTGTATTCTCTACAGCAGTTGGATTTATATCGGTTGCCCATATGTGCAAGTTATCGCGGTGGTTGCAGGCGACTTCTATCAAAATATTGCCATTCCCGCACCCTATCTCGAGGAAGTCGAAGTGATCATCATTGTCAATGTTCGCCAACTCCTCTTTGACAACCCGGTTGACTTCAACGGCCAGAAACTCACAACCCTGCTGGGTAAATTCCGAGTCAAATACACTTGGGAATTGCCAGATGGTCCTTCCAAGGTTCTTGATTTGGCGTTTTTCTGGTGTCCGCGTCTTCATCTCTTCGACCATTAAGGCTAGTGGATTGGGTGCTTCCATCGTGTAGAACAGACTGTGCCTTTTGCTGCGCTATGAACGTGGACGCTTCGCCGGTTGGTGATGTCTGAATGAAGGCGACACTTGGGATGTATTATTTATATATAAGGCTACAGAGGGCGTCAACGCACAGCACCCTACTTATCAGATATAAAAACGTTTAGAGAATCAATAGGAATCTTTACGCGGATTACGTGCTAATTGTGAATCTTCACCCAGGAGGTATACGGCCGTCTTCACGCTAAATGAACTTGATAAATATTTKGCTTGAAGTTCTGCGGAACCTTCAATAAAAATAGCCTACATTTTCAGAAAAATAGTAGGTCACTTATGTATATTCTTATTAGCAATATCCCAAGCTAATAGATGTTTTGAATAATTCAAGAAAACATCCCTTAAAAGTCATCTATATTTTTCGCAGCGACACACTTAGAATTCCTCTAGTCTAAGTACCCTTTAAGAGCTCAAAAGCTCATATCATTTTTTAAATTGTTTTTCGAAAAACTTCTAAAAATATTAGTCTATCTATAATGTAGGTCGCGCCATGGACGCTTGAATATTTACTCAAAATCACTCTTTGAGTTTTGCCTTTTTTTTCTCTGTTTTGGTTTTAAAGTCAATTTTGAAAGAATCACTATGGATTGTGGTTTGTTATCTATACTAAAACTAAGTTCCTTCACGCGAATACAAAAGTCAGGGTTTTATTTATCTGATTACTGAGATATAAAGCACTGGAAATCATGGTTTATTCTTTTCTAATAAACATTATTGTTTTGAACATCTATGATAAACAACTTAAATTAAAATCCAGAAAGGGGAAACATAAATKCGTTTCGTGATAACCTCGGAATTGTTGACCACCGAATGGACATATAGTTTGATTTTTTGGCGCACTCAGACCCGAATCTACCGGACGCGTTTTGTCTAGAGCTTGAGATAATTTGATATTTCGATGCATGAGGCCTTGGTGTCTTGCTTAATTTGACGGATTGCTTTGCGTATAAATTAGTTTATTTATTCAATAAGAATTTTATTTTGTATCTGAGCTGTGTGATTATTAGGAATTGCGGTTTAGCATGGCCAAGCGACACTTAAAGCAGCGTTGTAAAAGCTGGATGTATTGCAGTTTAAAACAATATCTGGTGCTGTCATAAAGTCCTGGATGACAAGACCCTAAGCCCTAGCTATGAGGCACATACTGACAGGGGAGGGTTAGGGATAGAAGTAGTGTTCTTTCAACTCAAACGACGTTTCATAAGTAATGTCATGAGCTATACCGTTTGTAAGGGTTGGGTTAGGTACGACTTCGGTCTTTCATATAGTATTCGCCGCAGAGAGCAAGACCCTGTAAGTGATGTAGGATATACTGATACCGCAGAGAGCAAGACACTGTAAGTGCTGTAGGCTATACTGATAGGGGTGGAGTAGGGAGTTAATCGCCTATGTTATATAACTAAAATTAAGCAAATCGCTATTCTTGCAGGGGAGGGCGGCAAGGATGCAAATAGATGGCAAGTCCTCTATGTTGCTCTATATACGTTAAAATAATGACAGGGACTGGGCATGAAGACCATTGCATGGCGTTATAATCAATAAAGGATGGAAAGACCTTTTGAGTCTGTAATGGCAGAGGTTGAATTGTGAACAAAAATTATTGACGTTTTCAGGATAAGAAACGTAACTCCCGACCTTTTTATAAAAGGCCAGTGGAGTGTTTTAACCTACATGATTTTGAATAAACTGAWACTGGTGAAAAATGGCAGCCAGTTTTTATCAGAAATAGAATACCAAAGKCWATTATCTMAACTTACCGGGGTAGTATGAGTGGTTTTGCCGTAGATGGACTGATACATTAAGCTACTCGTAAAAAACAACACTCTCGCTTTAAGGTTGTCCACACATAAATATTTTACATACAATGCAAAATGGATTCTATTAATTTAAAACCTTGCTTATTCCAGTAAAAGAAACGAAATATAGACAATAAATTACCCGGTAAAATGAACTCACACCAAAGTGGTATTAATCTTAGATTTCGCAGCTTGAACGTTCTTCGTCTTTGCCYTCTAGTTCTTATCAGAGACGGCCATAAGTTCTAAGTATTTGAGAGCTAGATTCTAAATTATTTAAAACAGGGCTGGTTGCTCTCCACCTACCTATTATTCGCATTTTAAGGGTTGTTATTAAAACTATGTATATCCCAGACAGCTCGACCCCCCTGCGTTCAATTATTAGMTTGTTTTTGCTTGTTGTCTCTCCACTTCCTAAGTTCGTATTTTACTGGTTTTCAGGTTTACCAGATTTTACAAGACGAAAATGCAGTGCCATTTTCAAMATTTCAAACAAACTGAACAATTTTTTTTTAAGGGACTCAGCGCAATATTTATCAGGGGGGGAGGGCAAAATCTAATTTTAGGTGCTTAAAGAGGCTAGGGGGAGGGGGGTCAACGTCTAAAATTAACTAGAACTTTAATGGGAAACTGAAAAATCCACGGTGTCAGATTATGTGCTTTTTGGTCAAATAGTACTAAAATGATTTTGYTGTTTGTTGTGGAATTTGATAATATATGTACTAGTAAAGGGCCGAGAATGGCACTTGAGGACTTCTTTACACGAAAAATGACCTTTACTTGACTGAAAGATACTGACGTGAGTACAACAGTTGAAACGAGAACGTTGTCACGAAAACTTAGAAATAAATAAAGAATTTGTGACATCGCCATCAACAAATTCTTTGCTTACTTAAATGCCAGAATGATCCTGCATTTAGGAAAGCAATGGGCGTCAACATTGCAAGAAACAATAATTCGACCGTTTCTTCCGCCCAAAAAGACAAAAAATACGTAGATAAAAAAAAGAAAAAAACAAGGAGGGAAGAAAGAAAAAATGAGAAAGAAATAATTAAACTGGAAGCAAATTGAAGGAAAGCTACAAAAACGATTAGCTGGTTAGTTAGCCCAGTAAAAATGAAAAATCTACTCAAGATTTAGAAGAAAAAAAAAGGAAGAGAAATTTTAACATGAGAGAAATAGTTTGGATTTCGTGACGCATTTCCCATTCAGAAATATGCTAAATTGAAAGAAAACGAAACTCCGAGTTTCCATATGAAGTGGMTATGCAGACACAGCTTGCTGATGGCATCTTTATTTACCTCTCCAACTTTAATATCAAAATCATGGATTTATATACAATGTGATGATGGCATTAGGAAAGCAAGAGGCTCTAYAACGAAGTCCTAACTTTTTATCAGATTCTCTTATTTTCGTCTACCCTAAACTCTGTTTTAAAACGTCAACATACGCACGTTTTTCTCAATTCATCGAAACCCCAATAGCAACACCTGTAATACAAAGTCATCAAACAATTGAAAAACGACCAATGATTTGAGCAGCTGAAAAAAAGACAGTAAACAAACTGAAAATTATCATGTTTATTCAGGGAGGGAGAGGTATTTTTTGCCGACGTGTCCCAGTCGATAAAAATATCTCTTTCAGACAAAATATAAATATTATTTSTAAAAAATTATATGGAGGATGGAAGCTTTTGGATATTACTTTTAATGAGTGTGTTTTTGAGTTTTTTTGAGAGCATTTTCGYGTTTGTTGTCGGGTCGAAAGATTTATCGCAGGAAGTAAAAGTCTCTTTTGGTTGCCAGACGTATCCTCTTGTGATTGGTCGAAATGAGCCAGTACCAGTCTCTCTCGTGACATCTTGTACAGTGTCATACATCCAGCATGGCGTCCAGAAATGCAATTTTATTTCTATTTTGTGTTCTTTTTTGTACGATTTTAGTTAGTTCTAGGAATATTCATAAGAAAAAACCTACAGATGGAGTACATCCAACGAAAGAAAGCGCGGATGCAGCTTTAAATGCCCATCAGCAAGGTAATCTGGAAGCACCAAAACAAATCGTCTGTCCATCGATTGTAATTTTTGAATGAAGCTCCGTAAACTCACATTGAGTTTAACTTTTTGATAATCGTTCCTCAGCTCCCGTTCATCCTAAAATCACTGAAAAAGAGAAAGAAGAGCATAAAAGCGAAGGAGAGCATCAAGGTACTTCCCCCAAAACTGTTATCTTTTCAGAACTATAGCAGGTAGAGCTACGTCAAGACGAAAAKTGCTAGAAATCTGAAATTACATAAGGTTACGGTACCTAGGTTTTTGTTTAAAAAAGGTCACTTGTTTAATGCTGAATGCTAAGCAAAAAACAGGTAAAATCAATTAAGTGTTGCGATCTTTTTCTCCTTGACTGAGTTACAATGTTGATCTTTGAATGTAGCTATCTCTATCTTGGTGATAAACACCAAAAATTGAACAAAGAAAACAGCCAGGTGATTTCTGAAGACAGCGTTTCCCATTTCCACTTTATTCAAAGKCCAATTATCAACGTAACTATTTTTCTCTACCAAAAACACAACGTATCAATTCGGATCAGTCTTTATATACAAGAGACACGTAGTCAAATTACAGCAAACATGCACAAATTATATTGCCAGTTTCGTTTAAGTGAAAATTATTGTATTATTCTAGCTTYTACGGCTTCACTATTTCCTTCTAAGGACTGAGAAATCATCTGTGGTTATTTTTCAAATATTCTACGTGTAGCTACAGTAGGTTTTGATGGACAAATAATACACGTCACAAAACGAAAGTTATGATTAAATTTGATTAATGTAAAAATATTTATAATTTACAAGAAGTATTTTGGAATTAGATTTGTTGTCACGCATTTTTAATGTCTTTAAATTGGTTAAGTGATTTCTTTTGAAAATACGTTGTTCATAGTAATTATATCTTAGATATTAACATTCCTTTTTCCATAGTATTTAAAAAAATTACAATAATTTGAATAATAAAATTGTTTTACCTTAATTTGCTAACCAAAACTGATGCAAGTCTTGCTTATAGATAAAACGATAGATATATATATATACATTGTATTTACTTATAATGAATGTACRAAACATTGACATTATTTAGCTTCATTTTACCATGACAACCAGAATCCTGGGCGGAGAAACACTTTTACAAGGTGGTAGGGGTGTTGTACTAATCAATATTAAAACTAATACTAACAGGCTCACATAGATTAACTCTGGTGCTGATTCCAGAAGTCAAAAAAAAAAAATGCAATTTAGTAAATTGAGTTCAAACACTAAAACCATGATTAAAAGCTTTATTAAAATTTCAAATAGTGCTAAATTCTTCTGAATCATGCGTATTCATTTGTTTTCTGTTGTTTAATCTACGCTATATTGCACTTCTTGGTTAGTACTTTTTCACGCTTTTCRTGTTTCATTTCTATTATTTTTCAATTTTATTATTAAGTACAGTCTAAAATATATTCAACAACGTCAAGAATACCTAGGCTTAAGATAGCGTAAGATTTTTTTTAAAAAGTTTCCTTTTGCTATTAAATCTTCTCACAAAAATTTGTGCTWCTGCAATGATAATCTCTACTGTTTGGTTCCAGATAAAGATGAGAATGTTGGGGAAGAGGARGACCACAATGAAATCCCTAAAGATCATCCAAAAAGAAAAGGCTTTCAAGGTGGCGTYGTGCTGCTTGGTAAACACCCCAGCTGTCTCCATGATGTGCAACGATTRTGCCATGAATTTCCTCCTGAAAATAATTTTGATATCCTTGTGTGCCTGCAAGATAAAGCCAAGGTAGTTAAAAATGGTTTGATATTCCAAATTTTGTTGTCAATGATATTGAGACTGAATTTACAGATACGGTACTAAAATTTTATTTATTTCATAGGATATTAAATATATCTTGTGAATTAAATTTTTGAGATCTGCAAGTTAAATAACTAAATATTGAAATATAATCAACATTAAAAAAAGAGCCAAAATATTTTTGTGTTCACATTTAGCTTGGTGAGAGTTTTGAACTTTGCTTACAAAATTATGAAATAAATATATCAAATTAATAATCATAAATATAAAATATTAATATCTGATTCTAAAGTTGAATTATTGCCCTAGGTCAACATTMACTTAAAATTTGATAACGGCACTTATGTATCTTCATAATAATACTTAAACATTACATTTTATCTACTAAATTATTAACACTGAATACTAAAAATGTAACAACTWAAAAAATATAATGTTTTTCATAAAGTAAATGCAGTTGTACTGTGAATATAACAAAAAGTAAAAGTATTAGTGTATTTACCGAATAAGGAGCTGTTTACATGATGTAGGGTTGATCTCTTTTGTTTTTAATATRATTTTATAAAACAAAAGAGTTAGCCGTACCATCTAGTGGCACCCTACTGTACTCKTGTAAACATGGTCTAAAAGAGTGTTATCATTGAACCAGAACAGTGTATGAAACAAAAGGCAATACACAATGCTCTGGTTTATCCACAAACAATAGTGTTTGTCTGTAAATGTAGACTAAATACTTTGTGGAAGTTTTTTGCACGGTTCAAGTGTGTTTACTTTAAACAAGGCTTAACTAAACTAACCTAATGTATGATCGCATAATTCACAGCAAAAAACCGTTGATAATGCAGGTTCCAGTTCTGTACCTTACGTAAGTGGAGAGGTGATGATGATGGTTGCTGATGATTTGATTGAATGTTGATGTGGATGATTAATTAATAAATACTAATGATTTAATGATTCTAATGATTAATAATGAATCTAACAGTTTGGAGCATGTAAAAGACATGGTTTATGCAATGTGATTGAGCAGAAACAAAAATTAAGAAAGAAAGAATGAAAGGAGAAAGAAAGAAGAAAAGAAGGAAAAAATCAAGGGCTAAGGGATGAAGAACTTTTTTTAAGTTATGCAGTATGCCATTGTCAGAATCAAGCTCTTTTTTGAGTGGGAAGATTGTTCGTAACACTGGTTGAGATTCTRAATAATGTAAACAACAATGAATAAAAATTAAAATTACTCAAATTGAACTTATATGATTAACCTTATAAATTTAATAAACCTTATAAAAACTGTGAAGTTTTGGGCTAAAACACTAATGCCATCAAAGTACAATCCAACCACGGTAATTAACACAAAATACAATTCAGTGTTTTCAYTTAGAATTAGCTAAATCCTGGTGAACTTCAAGGTTGAGGGGTTGTACTTCTTTTTGAAATATTCTGGAATTAAAGACTTGTTTTCAAGGCACTTGAAAAGTCTTCTGGAATACATATAGTCGTTCCAGAACCTGTTGCAGTCTAAGTGGTGTTTTTTATTTATTAACTTTTTTTTTTAAAAATAAGAGATTTTTTAGAAATAATTTGACAAATCATAAAACTGTCTATTTATTTTCTCTGCAGGAAGATGATATATCGAATGAATGTCACAATGTAAGTTTTGAATGGGATGACTAAATGAAATWTATATGGATGAAAAAAAGAAAAGATACATGTTATTATTATAAAGCAATAAAGAATTGATTGCCATGTTTTAGTGGTTTAAAATGTATGATGTATGCAGGAGTGTTAGAGAAACAGAAAAGTGCAGCAATGACTTTTGGTATTTTTGAGTGGAAATACGTAATTTAATGAGATTTTGAACAATATTTTTGTTAAGAATGAAAATTTCTCAGTACATTGATTTCACAACCTAGTAGAAACCTGTTTTAGAAACCTCTTGAATCACAGAAATCCAATTCAATTCAATTTTAGTTTATTCACTACATATTTTCATCAATTTTCAATATAGTAAATAAAATTACATGGTTTCCTGGTGTAGTTTGAAACAGTTTTAATTCTGATACACCTCAGCTTACCCACTTTACCCTATCCTTTTAGCTCTTATGGTCCTACAAGAAAAACCTAACCTGTGATTCAAGATTTGAGGATGCAGCAAAACAGTTCTGTAAAGATGACCTTAAAAAGGTAAATCCCCAAATGTCAAAAAACAGAGTGTATAAATATCTAAAAGTAAGTATTTATAAATGGCCAAGCCTAGGTGCATGTGCATTTGGTAGAGAATTGAAAGATAATAGCTCTGGATATAGTGTGTGTGTAGATTTAGTACATGTACTTCATAGAAACAAGTGAAATAGAGGTAATGGAAAGATATAATACTTAGAAAGGAGGTTATTCTAGGAGAAAAAAAACATTGGAAATAATTCGGAAAAATTAAATTTGGACTTGCTGAGATTCGAACCAAAAATCTTTGGATTTGCACTACCGATGTCACAAGGTCAGACTGGGAGCAGATGGCAGTGAAATAAATGAAACAATATTAACTTTCTTTTTATTTTCAGATGCCTTACTGTCAACACCAGTTGTCAAAATATCCYGGCAAAGGAAAGCTTGTTCCGTGCATGCTGATGCATCGTCAAACCAACATCACGAACACCAATTGCCTCAGCATGATGACTAAAATGCAAGCCATTGTTTTTAGTAACTACCACCTTATYGATGGATTCTTTGACAAGTGTCATGAYGATGTCACAAAGCATCAGTGTGGACGGATTACGGATAAAGAGGAAGATGAGGTAGCCATGTTTTTATTGTGTTTTTGTAGTGGAAAATTGATTTGTGGTGTGAAGACGCCATGATGTGTGGCAGATAGAAATGCTATTGGTAGCATATTGAGAATTATAATAAATATAATGATAAACTTTAATAGGGTTTTCTTAAAAAGGTTTTTCAAACAGAAAACTTAAWAAGTGTTCAGCATACACAAGACATACAGACTATTATCATATGATCCTTATTTGTTTCCATTTGCACCGTCTCTTATAAAAACTTTGGAAAACAATGGCACGAGTTTGGACGGGTATGGATTTGAGCCAGTCTGGAAAAAAAACTATATCTGCTCTGCTTGCACAGTCTTAAGAAATACATTGTACCTTTGAAAGGAATGTTGCCATTGGGTCACACAAACTTTCATTTTTTTTTTCTCTTAGATCACTGGTGTTTTTGTCAATTCTCTGATATTTTTATTTGATCATATGATAAATACTTATTGAATGACTTTGGTCATGCCATAAAATTTTCCCATATTTTCTCATATTGTTCATATTGTGTATTCTAACATCAAAAGTATTGTCACTCATCACATGTTATCTTTTTACGTGGTTTCACAGGATATCCATACTCAAAATGAAGTACTYGAATGCCTTGAGGACCACACAGAGACCCTTACAGCAGACTGCCAGAAAGAGATTTATCGCATGGCAGAACTTTCATCAGACGATTACCACTTGGACCGACCATTATTCTACGCTTGCAGGGAAGACAGAGAGAAGTTTTGTGCTGAAATACCATCTGGGGAAGGAAGAGTTTATAGCTGTTTGAAGAAACATAAATTTGAAAGGACAATGACAAAAGAGGTAATAAATTTTTTTTTATCATATAATTATCTATGAAATACCTATTTCTCCATTTTGTAAAGTTGATATTTTTCCTAGTGAAAATAACAAATTCGATGTTTGGAAGTAAGCTATTTTACAGCATTATTTACTTTCATATGTAATTAATAACATGATAAACAGAATATTACATGGTCGATTGTGGATATGAATTTTATCTTCTCGTGTAATAAATCGCTACGCTATGCTCACTCATGAGAGATCTTTTCAAATAATATAATTGTGTTTTCTTTTATTTCACAGTGTCAAACAGCATTAACTATTCGACAGAAAGTAGAATCCCATGATTATAAGGTATGATAATAACTATCTATCATCTTTTCACTTATACACCTTATTAGAAAAAAAATTGTCCTGAGATTTAGTGATTTGGGAACTTAAGGGACTGTTCATTTTTTCATGGGGAGGGAGGGGGGCCTTGGTCGTTTTCAGGGGGGCACCTAAACAAAAACCATGTTAGAGGGGGGACATGCAAAATTATTATCCCATAATCCCATAAAAAA